CACTTCAGTTATTTGTTGGTGGTACATCCCATGTAGGGGCTTGTCCTCCCCATGATGGTTCCTCCAGCACCTATATACCATATATATATATTAATTTAGAATAATAAAAAAAACAAAACAAATTTCTGCGAGTGGCATCACTTTGACTTCTGTTTCTGCTTTCTCTTGGGACTTCTACCACCACCCTGACAACTGGAGCCACGTTTCTGTATTTTATTGAAAAATAATGGGATCTACCTTGATTGATAAGTTATATTTATTTGTATCATATTCTGACCAAGCACAAGGCTAGGGCGTAAAAATCCATATAGCTTGTTACCGGTGCTACATGGCAGAAGTGGGACCATTGTCTCAAACCTTATATGAAAGTTGATGAACAGCACTGAATTACTTTGGTTTTCTTGTGAGTAAAATTTTTTAAATATGATTATTTCTCTAAATAGCATTAATTTATCTTATGGTGCCAGCTAGATTCAGTTTCTACAAGCTTCTTGGAGCAAGTATAACAAATGTTATAATTACACAATATAATGCTTCTTTTTTTCTTTGGTTATTCATATTGTTCCTTACCTGATTGAAACACCTTCTAAAAACTGTCATTGTTTTAATTGTGTTACTTTAAGATTGGAAGCCCCTCCTTTTTATTTCTTCTTCTTTGGTATTGTTTTTAAATTGTTTGCGCTCCTTAAACCTCCCCTTTTGTCATGTTGTCGTGCGGGAGAGGTGTGTAATGTAATGTAAATATTTAAGTGAACCTACAATTGTGAAATAGCAGGATTAACTTTAGTTTTGTACTTTTGTTTTGTGTAGGACTTGGAGCGGGTTGCCTATAACAAGGTGGTTGTTCTCATCAGAAATATATCGAGAAACCATCGATTTCAAAGAAATCCCGTGTCACGGCCCTGATCATTACATAAAACCAGCACAACACAGAAAGGATCCGGTTACACAAGTAAGTTCTATATTTACACATGAGTTTACTATTATCTTTCAGACATGACCGTAATGAAGCCATGTTCTTTCACCAAAACCTTCTCTAGCCAGGAGACCACTGAAGACAGACATTTCAATAATTTTCACAAGTGAAATGATTGCCTTAACAAAAACAATCATAAAGTGTTAAAATCTGATTCAGGGCATGGTACCAACTTTCATCTTAATGCTTAATGATGTAACTACAAATTAAGATTCTGATAACCTTTTGCTTCTTGGTCTTGGAGATGTTTCTGACAAGGTCAAAGTCTTACTGAGGATATATAAAAAAACAATATTAAATTGGTTTAAGGGTATTAGACCATAACAGATTAGATTCACTTTAGTTTGAAAAACTGAGATTTAACTGGCATATCACTAATCTTTGCAGAGTAGCATATTATCAGCTGGGCAATACCACTAAGGTTTGGACTGTGTTTTTTAAATCCAAATGTGTGATTTATTCCTATTATCAATGGAAGGAGAGAAAATGTATGGGCTTTACAACAAGTCTCAAGTGTAGATTTCACCACTTTCTTTGCAGCCGTTCGCAGGTGATCAACAGGGCTGACATCAGGTCTGGTAAATGGGGAATAAGCAGGTCAAACGTCAGACGGTACCCTGGCTGACTCTTTCAATACATCACACAGGAGACTTCATGAGGGAATCCAGTTTGATCCACTGGGTCCTCAGCAGCTAGTAAAAGTCAACAAGCTGTCACTCATATTTCCCCTTTTCCCTTTCACATGCCTGCATAGTCGACTTCCTTCTCAGCTTTCTTTCTGTCTTTCCCTTGTACTGGACATCTCACTTTCTCTTCAGAACCTATAATACTAATGATAAGTAAATATGTTTTAAATACAAACAAAAAATAGGTTACTTTCCCTTACTTTTACTAAATCTACTGTCTGAAGGTAAGGTAAGAGTAATTTTATTTATATAGCACATTTTCAGCAACAAGGCAATGCAAAGTGCTGAACGGCCCATATAGGAGTGTTGTCTCACAAGGAGAACATGACAAAGTGATGCCATGGCAGCAGATGATGAATGAGCGAGAAGACAGAATGTGTCCCAAATGGGAAGTAGGTTTGACAGAAGACTTAGGAGTTTTAAACTCTTCTATTTTGCATCCAGTCAACTGAGCTACTCACAGGATAGATGATCAGATGAAGAAGAAAAAGCATATATATTCACCCCATCATGTATATAACATATAATCATCACATTTTTAAAATATTAGCACCAAGGACTGGTTTGGTTAGATCTGCTGGTAATCTTTGTCAGATTAGCTTTGCTCTCCCGCCATCTAGTGGGTGAAGACCAGATCTCCAACTTCATCCTGACTTATACCAAGGGAAAAACAAAATGATATAATTCTAACAGCTTATTAAATATTATAGGGACAAAAATCATGTCTAATTACAGATGTTTACCAACCACTAATGAGACTAACGAGAATGAGAATATTTACTAAGCCATTTTTATAACTGTTGATGTTTTTTTTTTTTTTTTTTTTTTTTTTCTTTTTTTAACCAGGAAAACCCCATTGACATCCAGATCTCATTTTCAAGAGGGACCTGGGCAGAAATCTGCAATACACAGCAACCTGGTTACAAAATAAAATTAACACATATACATAAGTATAAAACAGTATAATGTTATAATCTGTCCCTTAAAAATAAGCTGTTAAGATCCTTAACTGAATAAAATACAATACAGAACATGTCAGACCCAAAACATAGTTTATTAAGGCTTTTATCAACAGGAAAAAGCATGAAAGGCTTTATTTAAATTATTTATTAATCCCCTTTTTAAATTGAGTATTTTTCCCACCACACAAAACATCCTTAAATATAATTTAAACAATGAGAAAATTCTTCTTAATTTCATTCAGTTTGACAGTTTAAGATTTTTCCGTAAACATTAATTAGCTTATTATTCATATATATCCTTATTTTTATCCAAGCACACGATTGCTATTTTATCATCTCTAATATTGCCAACGGTTAATGATAAAAAATTCCACAGAAAAAAAAACAAACATTGCATTAGTCCCACAAATGGTCTAAAGCACAATCGTGCCCCAAGTCTTAGAAAAGCACATTTACTTTGCATAATTACGAGTACAAACCAAAACCCAGAAAGCACCTTTTACCAAAAATAATCACAAAACAAAAATTTACTGGCTTTTAATGTATGATTATTCTTTGATCTCATTTGACCAGAATTCTGGTCATCAGCAAATTGATAATCAGGGTAACAATTGATGCCAGATGGCCTGAAGCACCATTTCTTTGGATTAGTCCACCTATGTAAGAAGGAGATGTGGATAGATTTTGTTAATAAAACACAATATTATCTTTGTCTTTACAAAGAAATGAAGGTGTAATAGAACTTTACCAGTTTTCGGTTGTGTCCCGAGTACCAGTGGTCCAATTGACAGAGCTCCAGAGTCATGGTAAGATACGTCCCTCTTGAATAGAGCATGGTGACCCGGGTAGCAATGCTGGGAAAAAAAGTAAAACAACATTGAGGCTTCTGCAGATGTTCAACTTAATTATACATGGTATAGCCACAAAAACACTCACAGCTCTGCAGTTGTTGTTTCTCAAAAGACACAAGTGGACACTGCAGTGCAAGAAAATCTGTGTGTGGTTGGTGAAAGTGAACATCCTGAAGGAGAAACGAGACACAGTGGAGACACCGTTCTGAATCACCTCCACGGTTCCATCTTCTGGATTAGGACACCTGTGAAGCATGAGCAGATGCATCAGTTAGACTGTCAACAAGAAGACACTGAAATAAATTATAAATAACGACAAGATGGTCTTACTGTGAAGCAATGAGATCCCAGCGGACAGGGTAGTTTGCTTGGTTGACTGGTGTGGCCCAGCAAGAGTCCAGAACTGTGGCAAATTGGCGCTGATCCACCCCTTCTGTTCGCACCTCCACGTAAAACATCTCATCAACTTCCAGTTCTATGTTTCTGTTAGTGCTGAAGGGGAAGCGGAAGGCTTCATCCTCATAGGGTATCATCCTCATACGATACGACCCAGTGCCAACAGGAAGCTTTTTTCTCAAAATGCTGCAGAAGAAAAATTTAATGTGGCAACCCTGTTAAATATGTCTGATAGGCTGACTAAACTTCTCTAATTTGTTTACAAGATTACATTATCACTAATCAACTGGTTGGACATAATTCTCGAAGGGAGCACATGGAGAAAACAGTATCATCACCTCTCCACAGGGTTGATGCCCACAGCCATTGAGAGAGCTTGAGCCAGAGGGTAAACGCAGAAGAAATCCAGATGAAGATTCCTCTGGCGGCTGATCAAACCTCCGTGAGGATCCTTATTCCCCTGAATAGTGTTCTCATACATGAAGTGAGTTCCATTGCTCTAAACAGTGAAATGACAGAATGGCATCTATCAACAGAATTAACATTATTGAAGTTTCAAAGAAGATGTTCCAGTTCATGAACTTTACCCTAAGAGCTGTCCCACACAGATGGTTGTCATTGTCAAAGTGGAAGATGAGTCGTCCATCCTGGAGAGTCCCTTTGCAGGAGCTGTCTCGGAGATGGAGAGCACTGGAGTGGAAGCCCGCTTCAAACAGCTGGCAGCGAGATACTGACATGGTACCAGAACTGCTGGAGCATTCGATGTTTGAGTCTGCTCACCAAAGACAGAAATATATAATAATAACCAAAACCAGAAAAAAAAAAAAAAAAAAAAACTTGTTGAGATCTACAGTCTCTTTTCCTAACAAGAAGCCTGGGAAGAAAGTTCATACCCGCTGTAAGATTTATCATAAAAAAAATTATCATCAAAAAAGAGCGACGTAGTCAAACATTTATAAACATGACCGTCTATGAACAAAGAGAGAAAGATGACAAGCACAATGATATACTGAGTCCAGTTTCTTGAGATATTGTTCAGGTGAATTCATTAACAAAACGTTACCATAATCCATGGTAACTTTAGTGACCAACTCAGGGGTGGGTAATCCTGGTCCTCGAGGGCTGGTGTCCTGCAACTCTTTGTTGTCTCCCTGGTCCAACACACTTGAATCCAATAGCTGAATCACTTCAGCTATTGAAGTGATTCAATAGCTGAATCACTTCAATTCAGCTATTGAATTGAATTGAATTTGACTGCACTTAAGTGCAGTCAAATTATCCAGAGTCCTGCTAACAACCTCATTATTTGACTCGGGTGCGTTGAAGGAGAAACCGGTCCTTGAGGCCTGGAGTTGCCCACCCCTGAACTAATCCATCTAATGCAGTAAAAATTATGATGCTTGAAACTTAGAGAACACCAACAGTAAAGTACCAAAAAACATGTTTGGCTCTATGTGACTATCATTACAGTTCTTCATGTGAACAACAAAAAATTTAAAAGGTGTTGCGCTTACCGTAGCTCTCATTGTTGGGTCTATGATGGCGATCATCACAGAAGCAGCCATACGCACCATCTTTCTTACCACACCACTCATACTCTGCACAATCCAGCTGTTCACAGGGATCCATCTCAGCTGAATTAAATATATCAAAATGGCAAAAGGAATTTCATCTCATATGATCAATCAATCGCTCATTGTTCTGACAATGTATTGAGCCAAGCAAACATACCACAATGCAAAGGAGAGCGCCAGTCGGGGATGCTTAGACCCAAATTGGTGCAAGTTTTCTCATAAGCAGAGACAGCTGAACATAGCATGCCATTGGCTGGTGTGTAGAGGCAGAGATTGTAAACACAGGAAATGAAAAATGGTTGTGGGTCAGAATGCAGATGACAAGAACTGAATGGGCCACTGGTGTTGGTGATGACTCTGCAGAGTTCTGTGTATTCTTCTATGAAGTGGCAGTTACTTAGTCCATCACCACTTCCCTCATCAGTTGATCTGCACCTAGAAAAGTTGTTAGACATAAAGATTGTAAAGACAGCACATTTCTTAACAAATGTTTACAATTGTTGAGATTTTTTAGGGTAACTGCAAAAAACTGAAGTCTGAGCTCACCCTGCTTGGCTTGTTTCTGATCTCCAGCTGTGGCCAAACTGGTTGTCGTTTTCCGCCAAAGTACCATTGGGCAAAACTTTGTCATCAGTGGGATCACCATTGAAGTTCCCACACATTCCTCTGACTCTGTTCTGATAGTTGTGACCCATCCTGACCAATAATGTACTAGAGCCATCAAACTGGACTACGACATCAACAGCATCAAACACTATGTAACTTCCCTGCCTCATCACCTGACCAAACTTTCCTGTAGTGGTGGGAAGAGAAACCTCAGCTCCATTTACCTGTTATGATGAGAGTTCAGAGAGTAAGACCAAAGGTTTTAGCACAAGATAACTTGTTTTTGATCTTGAATTTAAGATAAAGCTTACCTTCACCCTCTTGTTAGATCCGAGCCTGACATGAACACTCTCCGGATGATTTGAGAGGTATATATCAACATATGATATGAAAGACACAAGATTGTTTCCTCTGTGTTTGTTGGTAGCCACGACTTTGTACTGAGTTTCATTGTTGCTGTTGCTGTCTAAACTTTCAGTGATGATGTAAGAGCATGATCCCTGAAAATGAGCCAAGGCTCCATCGAAAGTGATGTAATGTGGGTCACCCCATACAGTACAGGTAGACATGGCGTCGTAACAGCCCAGCTGGCCATCTCTGATGGTGCACTCTTGTGCAGGAGTGCATGATGAGGGATTACAGAGCAGGACATTTGATGCACGACATTCACACCGTTGGGAGCAACCGTCTATCCAAAAGGACTCACCAGGCTGCAAGTTTAAAGAATAGTGAAAGTATTAAGTTGTGTGAGAACAGTAAGAAGAAAACATAGCTGCAAAACTGCATCATGCAGACTCTGATTCCAGATCTGCTTTTGCCAAGTTTCCACTCCTTCCTGTCAGTTAAGACTTTAATTACTGAAGGAATGTCAAAAATGGATACCAAACAATTGTGTGAGATGATGTTTGTAACTTGTTGTCATACTTGATTTTTGTCTTGAAAGCACATACTACTCAAATAGTTAAAGGGGAATTACGGTAAATGTGCTAGTAAGTTTGCTAATATTAGCAAACTTATAAAAACTCAAAAGGGCAATGGAAATGGACTGAATGTAGGTTGTACAGTTTTCATGGCCACTCAATATACTTTACATAATAGCCACATTCATGCAAAAACAACAGAAGCCACATTCATTAGAATTTTCGCAATTGAAAACCTGGACAAATTCATACACCGATTCACAAATTGATAGGAAATTAATGTTCCAGGGAGACAGTAACATGTCAAAAGTGGAAACTGGAATCGAACCCACAACCTTCAAATATTCTGGTTGATGTCTAAACATTTTAGTTCATTCCACATGATACCATTTTATTAAGTAAAGGGCACCTGACCCTTCAGTGTTGAGTTGCATTTGGAGTTATGCAGAATTATACCCTGCTCTTTAGGTTAATTTTGGACTAATGGCTACTTCCTCTCTTAGGGTCATTAAGTCCAGCTTCAGTCCGCATATTCTTTTGCCTCTGAGACAGAATCATCCTTACATATGCCAACAGGAAGCATCAGATGACAAGAACACTTTCAGATACCTAGAAATTGTACTAAGGAGACTTGTAAACGTCCAAGAATATCTTAAAATTTGGGTAGATTCTTTATGATTTAGCTGATATGTCCCACAAGAAGGCATGCTGTAGCCTTGAAGTACAACATCACATAATCTTTTCATTCTTCAAAGACACTCTGGAAGTGTTACATCAGCTCCCACATTCTAACTTTCTGAGCTAATTAACCTACATTGAAATAGAATCCATCATACTGGCAGCCACAGCTTTCCACAGGGACACAGCTTGATCCACTCCTGGAAAAACCTTCATCACAGAAACATCCCTCAGAGCAAACATGGTCACAGGCAGCATCGATGCTGCTGGCACAGGTGTGGCCACAGTCTGTTCCACACAGCTCATAATGACTGTTGGCTGGGCACTCAATTCCTGTATACATGATAAGATAAAGGATGACAAGTTGGTTAAAACAAGTTCAAACATAGTAGACACATTATGAGAGATTAGAGGATAACTCTTGCTCGATTGATAGCACACTGCCTTCCATACTCACTGCAAGTGGTGTTTTGCCTCCAAGGGTAGACACGGATATTAGCAGACTGACAGGCACTGACGTACGTCTCTAGAGCCCTGCACAGAAGATCACTGCCTCGAATCCCCGACACGCAGACATCAAAGACACAGTCACTGAAATACGGTGCTGGATCCACCTCCTCGTGGCAGAAGCTGAAGGGGCCGTCAGCTGCCTGAATCACCTCACACTGGGCCCTGGCGGATCGATCATCATTGCATTGTGCACATGAAGAGCCACAGCCATCACTACAGGTGTAGTTCCCAGGAACCTTCCAAGCTGCTCCAAAAACATCGGCTGAGTTGGACAATGATCCATTTGGGGTGTGGAAGTCATCATTTGGATTTCCATTAAAGTTTCCACAAAGTCCACACATGTTTCCTCTGTTCAAGATAGAAAAACCTGAATTACGTTTTATACACTTAAATGAGAATGAGAGACACAATCACAAGCAAGACAATACAACATATTGTAAAAGTATTACATAAGGGTTAAACATGTTAAGTTTAGTATTTTCAATAGTTAGCCATTTAACTTACCAACTATAGTTGTAACATATCTAGCTAGTTAGCACCATTCAAGTCTAAAGCTTTGAGCTTTATATGTACCGAAATAAAATTTCAGATAAGATTTTCAGATGAAATAAGGTGTACATTATTGATGCCAGGATTGGGAAATTTTGGGGCCACAGCTGCATGGCATTACAAAAACAGAGTCCTCCCCCCATTGCTGAAAAGGGGGTGCAGGTTGGAGTCCCCCCAACACCCTGTCGTTTTTGTTTTTTTCTGCCGATTCGAGGGGCTGAACTTCGACTCGGCAGGAAAATTAATGTTTTTGATTGTTTATTCAATGTTGCATGACTCTGTGTTTTTGTGTTTAATGAT